TTATTGTGACCTGAATTCGACTAAATTGGATTAAGGATCGACGCACATGCCTCGACCCAGAAGTTTATGGTGTTCGGCTCTATTCATTAGAATATGAAATAGATTAGAAGTTCCTTTGTTTGTGGTATATTACCTCACGGAATAAGGCGTATGCCATAAATCATTACAAGATTTTAATAAAAAAGGATCAGGAAAAAGAATTACCAACAGTATTTTCCTATGAAAAAGGAAATTTTTTTGAAGAAGCGTATTTTATTTAGGCTTCTTTGGTATTATTACATATACTATATATAAATAAATAAGAGATTCCAATAAATAACTTATACTGAGATTTATATGAAATCTTACTTCTTGTGTAAATTTGCGCCCTATATCTATTAAATCTCAACAAAAATAGGGGATGTGAAGAAAAACTGTTAATATTTTTAAAATCATCGTGTTGAGAGTAATAAAAATGATGGCAATATTAGATATGTTGAGAATCTTTTTTTATTTGCAGTAATTTTTTCCGTGTCCATTTGGTTGGAAATCTATTTTAACGGATGGAGATAGAGTAAAATGCTCGGTAAAAATATATGATAATGAGTGTTTATAAATAATTTTTAACTCTAGACAATGTATCATATAAACCATAGTAACAGAATAAAGTGATGGTGTGTAGCAAGCTTCGTTTTGTTTAGCAGCACTATTAGGTGTTATTAAGTGTAGTTAGGATTGGGTATATGTCCAACGAAAATTTTAAGCATATTAAAAGGAAAAAGTTGAAGGATGGTGTGTTATAGACTTACTTATTCTTTATCATAGACATATCTGTGTCTAATTTCATGAACTTTCATCCGTTTCCGTTTATTTCAATCTCGGTACAGTTCCAGTTCTCACAAAACAAGGACAACTCTAGTGCACTATATATAGAAAATTACTTATAATATAAAAAATGACGTTTTCAATAGTTTTATGTTGACGATGTGTGAGAGTTGACAGCAACAACTGCTTAACGCTCGAAGCAAAATTTGATTGTAGGATTATCCTTTATGGATAACACTTAGAGCATTACTACATTGAATGACAATTGCATTCTAAAGTTTGTTAAGGCAAAGCAACGTATGGTTGTGTGCTATATAACAGTGCTTTTTTTGCATTCTTTATAATGACTATTGTGGATAATTTATTTATTATGGGTTGTGTGCTATATTACAGTGCTTTTTTTTTATGTATTCTTATATAAGTCCACAGCCTTAACGACCTGATTTAACACTACCTAATTTATTTAAACAATTTTTTTTTTGAATTTTAATTGTTTACGTTTATAAATTATTCTCTCATTCATTATCTTCGACAGCCTTTTTTTATCTATTGTCAAACATAAGTTCATAGTGTCGTAAGTTATTTTCATTTTTATGTTAATTAAAATAATTTCGTTAATTTTTAAATTACTTTAGCATAATGAAAATTCCATAACGTGGCGAAAATTATCTTCAAGTATTTCACGAGTAGATAGAAATTTTCTTGTGAGTGTCTTAGTTGAGCTTTAAATAGTGTCTATGTAGAAGATTAGCATGGGTAAGGGGCTTTGGGGCATTGGGGCGTAGGAGGTATGTTGGGTATCGTGTAGTTGCTCCTATTGAGGCAAAAGTTTGATTGCAAAAGATGCGTTTAAGCATCTTCATTGTTGTTGTTTGCTATGCAGTGTTCTGGAATACCACGACATTGCTTGAGTGTTGTCTACATTTTCGTTAATTTATTTTACATTGGAACCTGGCTGCATCTTCCTAGTTGATGTTGCTGCCTCTTTGAGAAAAAATTGAATTCATGTTGCACATTTGAAAAACTGGTTTTTCACTTTTTTCCTTCAATGGCATTAAATATAAAAAAGGAAAACTAAACCCAAAGCAACATCGGAGCAGCTCAAAATGAAACTGAAACTCGTAAGTTTCGGAGTTGATGCACTTTCAAAGGGCTTTGCTGCATTTTTGCTGACGACCTGTTTTCAGTTTTACTACTTTAAGTTTGAGGTATAGTTTAGGTTTTTCGGTGTGTTTGGTGTTTGTGAGATTTCCATCACATTTTATCTATTCAATTTAAAATTAATTGAAATTCAATTATTAGCTTAAATGTTTTTCTTTATAATTGAATTGGTGAAATAAAAGCATTTATATATAGTAGAACAAAATGTAATAGAAAATTGTGATGTGAAAAAATCTATATATTATTATTCATTATGTGATATCAAATGATTTGGTTAGTATTATGTATATATTTAAATAATAATGTGGTACATACCACCACAGCAATTAACTGATTCAATTAAATATTTTATTGCAATACAATCCAGAAGTAGAGTTATTGAGGTGCAGACTTGGGGATTGCATAGATTAACTAAAGAGCAACTTCGTATATATATTGTACCTTTCTATAAAAGTAATTTTATCAAAAGTGAGATTTCTGTTATAATTTATTATGAATATTATCTAAAATTATTTATTATCGATGTACTATCAGTTAATGACTCCGTACTGACATTGGTGTAGTTCAAGAAAATTAAAAAAAATTGTCAAATGTTATTAAAACACGAACAAATGTTGTTAGAACATTAATTAATTAATAACAAAATTTTTTTGAAATAACTTCCAATAAAACAGATCCATTAAAGTCTGTATCGATCAAGTTTTTATTTAAGTGGTTTAATAAAAAAATGGACAAATGTATTAATTGCAACATGTTGCTTGAAATTCCTTTTTCTTTAACAACTTCCATCGGCGCCTTCAGTATATATAATGGAATATAAATATTTGCATTGAGTTTAGTTATGATATATAGTATAATTATGTACCCCTATCTGATGTAACAAGATGTTGTTACTATCTGGATGGGGATAAAATTTTTGTGGGACTCTGTTACCCAGTTTTACTCATATGTCAGGATAAAAATATATTAGGATTAAAGTTGTTAACTTGTTAATAATAAAAAAAACATAAAATCTGACCTTTATGAAGCAGGCAGAATGTCTACTACTTCCTTAGCAACTTGTATTCAGCGTGTTAAAAGATAAGTTAATGCCACAGCAGTTCTGCTTCATTGAAGCATTTGATCTTCGTGTTTTATATATATAAAATTATTATTATTATTATTGTTATAACAACAATAATAATAATAACAATAATAATGATATTAACAATGATAAAAAAACGTTATTTAAAATTACAAGTAGAAGATATAATTATGAAATTTAGCACCTATGTTATGTGTCTTCTATGTGTTATCTCAAGTCAAACAAAAAGAAATCTAACGACAATCATTAAATACTTTAAGTAATATATTTACGAAGTATTAGATACAATTATGGACTTCTGCGTTTGTGTCATATTACTTTTTATATGTTGTCCTAAATTGTTTTCTATATTATAAGTAACTTTTCATATTCTTTCATATTCCTTGATTCAATTGTCAAGAAAGCTTATACTATATTTTATTGTTTTATCTTTGTAAGCCTTTTTAAAATTTTGATTATTTGAAAAAAACAGTATATATTTTCTCTTTAGTTATTCTTCGGTGTTCTGGTAGGTTTAAATGTGCCTATACTAGCACCGATAATACTGAATGTTCTAGTTTTTTTAAATTCAGCATTTATTTTTTAAAACATAATAAAAGTTTTAAAAATGATGTGGATTAATTATGTCTGATATCAACAATTTGTCCATGAAAAAGTTTTTTTGAAAGTGGATACTGTATCTGAGAAAGTCCATCATTTTTAACATGATTATTAACACCAAGATACTCTTAACACACGTATAAATAAAATGCGTTGATAAACGCTCTCATCAAAATTCCATGGTGTACCACCGGTGTCAATTACAGCTAAACGTTTGGATATAGTTTCATTAGAAGGGAATGAGGACCATCCTAAATCTCTGATGTTCTTTAAGTCTCAGCGACCAGTTAAAAAATGTACTCCGCATCGAATGAAAGTAACTGAATATAAGTATTCTATCGGTGTAACTTTGGGTTATAACCACAGATACTATTGAAGGACCCAAACTTCATTTGTTAGGATAGCCGTAGTTATGAGCCCTGACCCCGTGGTGCCAGATTAACACCTTCGATCGTATGCCGCAAGTGAAGCTAACTCACTACTATATAAAGTCCAAACAGAATCAGGAGGTGTTACTGTCTTACGACAGACATACAGGTCTTACTTTCCCGCGGGTGTACTGTATGTGACAATGTTGGAAATTGCAACAAAAGACGAAAATAATCAATAACGAAAAATGTATGGCATGATTGAAATAAAAAATTGTGAAAAAATGAAGTCCAAATTAAAATTCTCTTTCGCTAAGACTATTCACTATTTCACTAGGTGAACTTGATACCCTTGGACTGGGTCCCCATCTGGTTATTTATTTATAATATATATATTCATTGAAATTTGAACTTATTCATTGAACTTATTGAGTGATATTTTGTAATATACTATTTGTCAAGGTTATACAAAGGTGTTTAAAGCTCTGTTATCTTCTATAGCAGATTACAATCAAACAAATACTTTGTCTTTAATACAAGCAAAATAGTTTTTAGATTTCAAGATGGGAAACTAGAAGCTTAAAAATGGATCATTCAAACATTTTTTAATTACTTTGGTTATTTAAAATAGATACATATATCTAACACCCAATATTTAAGTTTCTTAACTTTCGAACAAATAGGATAAGGTAGTGCTATTCTCGGTGGTTTTTATTTTAAGACTTTTGTTTTTAAATATTTAAAACAGGTTATATTTTCTTCACTTCTTAAGTATATTTATTTGATTACTGTTATTAAGAAAATTGTAATCCAATCACATTATACGATGATGGATGGATAATGGAAACTTGAAAAATTTTTAAACTATAATTTATATAAATAATAAAGTCACTGTGAAATATTTAATAGAAATTTTGACTATATTTTAATAAATTAAGTAATATTTTAGTATAAATTATAATGTGTAATTCTTTTTATTTCAGATTTTCTGGAACGTGAAGGAAATAAAACAAACACGATTGTTTGTAGATTTGATAAAATTTCTAATACAAACAAGTATATAAAATTGTAACTATAACACAAAAAAGCAAGAATGGCTGCAAGAAGTCATCAATATTTCAGCTTACGCTGGAATAACTACCAGAACACCATGACCTCAGTGTTTCAACAATTGCGGGAAGATTTGTCATTTGTCGACGTGACATTATCATGCGAGCATGGCTCTTTGAAGGCACACAAGGTATATTTCATTTGTTTTTATCTTTGCGAAAAAGACTAAAATCCTTTTCAAATATTTTCTATTAGGTTGTGCTGTCGGCTTGTTCTTCTTATTTTCAAAAGTTGCTTTTGGAAAATCCATGTAAACATCCAACAATTATTTTACCTGCCGACATCATATTTACAGATTTGAAAACAATCATTGATTTTGTTTATCGCGGGGAGATAGATGTTACTGAATCCGAGTTACAGGTAAGTTTTAGAAATGAAACAATTATATTTTCGGGTATGTCATTTAAGGATCGCATAATCCCAGCTCAAGTAACTGAAATTTTCATTATATTGAGTGTGGATTTTAAAAGTAGTTCTATTCTTGGTAGTAGTCATTGAAGTTGATAGTTATTGTTATTTTTGACGAGTGTGATAAAGCAATTACTATGAAACTCTTCAAATAACTAATTATGTTTCATACATTATTTTTTAAAGTGTTGAATATTCGTGGAAATGTTTTTATGTATTCTTATATTTTTCATTGAATTTCTTGTAAAAATCCATCAAATTTGTAAAATTTAAACTTGTCACCCACCTCTGTATTAAAAATATTAGTTTTGGTTAAAACTTTTTTTAGTCAGGGAATACATAAGAAGTTATATTATATTTATAATGTTATTGGGTGGGAACTCATCACTGGTTTAGTAAACCCGCACATGTCTTCCTCACTTCAATTCAGCACAAGTCCAAAGTAAAAATAAACCATATCTTTATCCATTCAAGGATGTTTCAATAGATATATGTATATATATTTATAGAATATAAAAGAAATATAAATATAAAATAATTTTAACATTCTACACAATCTGCTAGTACAAAGTGAGAAAAAACTTGATTTATGCATTTTGATAAGATTTGCACTGCAGTTAAGTAGACTTTGCACATCACATTTTTTTAAATAGACTGATTACGAATACAGTACACGCTCACAGAATAGAACCACTTTGTTCTTCGGTTAAAAAAGTAATTAAAATTAATTCAAAAATAATATTATCATTTGCATTTCTTTAACAAAATTATAAGAACTCGATATACTATATAAAAATGGAAATAAACAGGGTACCAGCTCCCAACAGACCCTAACCGAACAGAAGAGATTTCGCCTTCCGAATGAAAGCCAGAATGTCAACTTTCTAATGTCAGAAAGGGAGAGTAGTTCTCGACAAAGTGACCTCCTCCTGGCCCAGATCAAAGCTGGGCTGTCACAAAGAATGTGACTGGAAGTCTTGTCTGCTTCTAAGTAGAGTCGACTTATATTATACAAAGTAATCCATGATATTTTTCGTTTTGGATTAATTTTTGAATAAAAAAGTCATTATGTTGTGGCAAAAGATTATCCATTTGCTTAAGAAGAAATAATTCATTCCATTAGAAACATATAACTAAGTTATAAATGTTTTCGACAGTCATAGAAGAATAATGAGTGTAGTGGCTCCCAGTTTTCAATTTTATGTTGTTCTTCTCTAGCGTACAAGGAACTAGAAGGAAATAGATGACAAGTAAAAATTTTCTGAAACTAGAACCAGAATCTCAAATTTCAGAATATTCGATGCATGACGAAATGAGGTTCTAATTTCGGAATGTCTTAATTTCTAAAAGTATCATATTTTTTATAAAAATGACAGTCCCAAAATAATGAAGTCTAGCATAGATCGCTATTACGGAAAAAATTTATAAGCTAGTTCTTATATTAAAAAATTTACTACTGTGAAATTAGCTGTTTTATGGATGTACCTATAGTATCTATGGTATATATATTATAAATATATTATTTATATATATATTATTTATATATATATTATTTATATATATATTATTTATATATTTATTTATATATATATTTTATATATATATATTTTATATATTTATAAGTATTTATAGTAAATACTCTGTAAATAATATTTACAATAAATTTACTATATAAACTATTTAAAAACGTTTTTTTGAATGATCACTTTTTCAATGAATGTAAAGACTTGAATATCTAAATATGACATCAAAATTTTGGATAATAGTTAAATTTCCGCATATGACAATATCTAATAAACAGAATCATATATAGATTGAATTTTACCATTATGGGTAGATTACAATAACAATATAATGTACTCCTCTACCATAATTACAATACTTTTTAAAATTGAAGCTAGTTAATGATTAAGAAGCAATTTAAATCTTATAATTTAAATATAACATAACATATAATATATTATATGTATGATATATTTATAGGTTATTTGACCTATTATAGAATTGATTAAATAGTTGTATTGATTCCTAGTGTGATATACAGCATGGGGAATACATGAATTAGTGATGGCGTATATGTATCAAAGTTAGTAAGAGAATGAGGAATGGCTGTGTATAAGAGTAATTGAATTTAGCTTAGATTAAGAAGAAGAAAGTTGGTTGTCACTTCAATAGAACAGAACTTTAAATCACTAGAGTTCAAGTTGAAATGTATGTCTATATTACGAACCGGAATTAGTTCGGTGAAAGCATGTGGAGAAGAGTTATAGCTAGGGTATACATTTAAAATGGGCGAGGTTATGTCTGACAAGTTAATGTCACTTGATCTTGATTTCAATTGGGTAAAAATTACTTTTGCTGAACGAGAAACACATTTTTCGTTTCTAGATATTATATAAAGCGATAAAATATCATAAGATAAGAAATACAACATAAGATCTCACGTAGGGATTAAGAAGCTGCTCTATTAATATTACGATCAGATGTTACAATCAGTACATATTAACTTCTTAAAATTTTATTTTGAAAATTTATTGGCATGGTTTATAATTTGGATTCAGGTATTGCGTATTCGTTTCTATAATAGGGTAAAATAAAAATAGTTGGAACAATCCCTTTTTCTTAGGGATCGACAGAATATAGATATAAGAAAAGATTTCAGTAAAGTCTTCTATTTTGAACAATTTTTTCTACTAGTATATATAACTATATATATTATAGTAATTATAGTAATATTTATGGATGTAAGAACTATAGTGAATGTTTATAGAGAATATAATAAACATATCCATAAATAATCTGTTTGGGTTTGGGTTAAATAAGTTGTCTGTTTAAGAACATATACTTTAATTTTTCACTTACATTCTTATTTTATTCTAATAGAATCCTATTTATTTAAGTAATAAAGCATTAAGTATTACATTGTATTATTGTTATGGGACGGTGGCACTGCGAACGTAGAGTCCATTGTGCCCCCTTCTGGATTTACAGTAGCTCTCTAGCCATGTTGCGTCAATAAAAAGTAGTACAGAACCTACTTTATAGAGTATTACATACGTTATGTACATTTTATAGCACGTTCTACTTTATGAAAATAAATTTTAAAACCTCTGCATATATGTATATATCATTTATACACAATTTTTTTTTTCATACTTGTAGTGCAATTATTAGCATATTGATTTATGATTATTTTAATTTATATATTTTAATTATGTTGAGTATTGACTGCATGTGTGAGTAAAGTGTATGAGTTTGCTTTGTAATTAATACGAATCTAACTAAGTAGAGCTTAATTATTTATATAAAGGATATTGAGAGTTGTGTAGTATTATGTCTATCGGTAATATATTGTTTCAGTACTTTCAGGACTTTGGGAATTATGGATTTATTTGTTCTTAATTCTCACTGACATTCATTTAATTCATAATGTACCTCTGTTTCATACATAGCAATATCTATGTATTCATAACAATACGAATTCTATCTAATATTTTTAATATATAAGTAGAGTGAATGCATAATAAACTCTACAAGTTCATCAATTTAAATTTCTAAAATGCATAGACCGAGATATTATTTATAGTTGCAGAATTTGACAGAAATCGGAACATTATTGTTTTGTCGTTCTTTATTGGAAAATATGATTTAATGGAATGTTTTCGAATCATAATATTTAAATTGCTCTGAATTACCTGAATTGGCGCTAATATAGTGTTAGCGCTTATAACCGCACACCGACAGGATCTGTAAATTTTGTTTAATTTAGAAAATTGTTCGCGGACTTTGTATATAAAATAAAAACTGCGGCTAGAAACGTTGCACGTTTAAGGAAAATATGTCTTTATGAAAGCTCTCTATTTGTTGAGTTCACACCATACTTGTATTATCAATAGTAGATATATGTAGATATATATGATATATATATAGATATATATATGTAGATATATAGATATATATGTAGATATATGTAGATCATTAGACATAGGTCATTAGATATTGTGGTCTCCACAATATGGTCTCTCCCATATTGTGGAGACCACTATATTGAGATAGTGTTACTTATCTTGGTACAATATTTAACAAGATTTAATATTCGTAATCTGTATTAAGATTCAATTTGTTACCGAAAATACTTAAGGCTTATCAAAAGAATAAGAGAATAAAAGACTAAAACGTATCAAAAGAATACCTATAAATACCTAAATACGTATCAAAAGAATACCTATAAATACCTAATTCTTATATTTTCTTGAATCGTTTAAAAGATTTAGTTTAACATATTTATTTTACTGCCGTTACTCGTCTATGCTTTGAAGACCCGTCCAGGAATAAGTGGTTATAACTTTCCTCTTCAGTAGTGGAAACTTTAAGTTAAAGTTTGCTTTAACTTTTTTTGTTATTAATATTCAATATTCTCAAACTCTTTAAACATATTGAGCTCTACAACTTATTTAATTCAGATTTCTTGAATTTTAAGTCATTTTGTTGCGGCACTCATTAAAAGGTCTCCTTTCTCAAACGTCTCTCCGATATCACTAACATAGAGATTAAAGACCTTGTTTTAAAATAAAGTGGTTTTCCGGTCTAAAATATCTTAACATAAGGTTTTTAGAATAGTTTGCGCGCCCTTGTAAATTGTGATAAGGCCTAGGTTGACTTTGTACCCAAAGTCCAAATAATGAACTCAATTAATGGTTTATTGTTGTTGTAACCCACTGGGACCTGCTTGATGAAGTCCTTTTGGGAGGTGTTGAACGGCACTTGGTCGTCGCTGGCGACGAGTGGTTCCGGGACGTAAACCTGGCCGTTCTTGAAACCCGTTCTGTTTTAATATTTGGCTATCTACTTTGAATTCAACTTTAGTCAATATTTTAAAATTTGTAATTTTACTTTATTTTTTTGGTAATAAAATGTATAATATTTACGTTTCATATATGTATTTTATGGTGTTGTATAAAACTCGTCACTGGAACATAAAATTAATTTGTATATATTTTTAAGTCCTTTTATTTTTATTGTACTGTATGTACATACAGAATTGTATAATTATAAATATATTTATTGTATATTTATTATTATTAATAATT